TCAAAATGTTCGTCTCAGAAAGCACATCATTTATTTCCATCGTCTCATTTTCATTTGAGTTCATCTTGATGCCCGAAATGTTGTTAGAAGCGGGTTACTTGAGATAATTGTCAGATCTGCTGCTCCATTTAGATATTTGTCATTTTTGCCACGATTATTGTGTGCAAGATATGCCCATGAGCTCTACATATGTTTTGTTAAGGGTTTTGCCATCTTTCCAGAGGTGCAACCCATGTATTTTTGTGATGTGTGTGGTGACTAGCACAAGCTTGCAAAGTGAGGCACTTGGTAATGCTGATTTTAGGGACTTAGCATTTCCACTAAGTCCTTGATCTGTTTATCTCATGTTGCCATATGTTCATGTTGTTTCCTAGTGATCCGTGCCTCTTTTGAGGATGATCAGTAAGGATGTTTTGTTAATCTTGTAGTGCTTTATCCATCCATGTCTTTGTTTGCAATTATGGAGCACCCTAGCTTGAGTCAATCGAGCTCTACTTTTGCTACTTCGTGAATCTGGGCAGATTGTCTACTTGTTAGCGATTTTGCCGAGGATGTTGTAGTTGATCTGTGCATGCTATGCGATTGTTCTTGCCATGTCTAGATTGCATTTTGTGTATTCTTGATGGTTGTAAGCTTAGATTATCATGACTTGCTCTCTAGTGAGTGCATCGAGCTTGTAAACATGCCTACTTGATATCTGTTTTGCATGCTCCAGTTTTTCTCTAAGTCTGTGATCTGATTATGTTTTTGCCATGTTCACATGCTTGCAATTATATTTTCAGATCCCTTTTGGCTCAAGGTCACTAAGGAACTTTTGTTAAGATCTTTGAGTAGCTCCATGCCATGCTTTACTTTGCCATGTTCAGGTCATGTAGCATGTAGTTTTCTTGCTCCAAAGAGTGCTACCTGATCTGAAATTCCAGACAAGTGTTAATTTCACTAAGTCTGAGATCTGTTTACCATATGCATTTTTGACATGTTTGTTTGAACCTGTTAATAGATGAATTGGTCGTAGCTCAGTGCTAGACTTTTGTTAAGCATCTTCAATGCATCCCTGCTATGTATTTTGTTGTCATGTTTGGGTGCTGTAGCATGTTCATCTTGTTGCATTTAGATGGCTACTTGCTGTAAATCGCAGACCGGTGTCATATTCGAATCGCTTGCCATTTCCAAACCGTAGCTCCGATTCCGGCGTTCTTTATATCGTTTTCAAGCGATTTCATCTCATCTTTCCAGTGGCACACTTGGTTTTCCAAGTTGAGGCCAGGTTCATGCATCCCTTGTCAAATCTTGCATATGCATCCCGCATAGCATACCATCCTTGCATCATATTGTTTGATCCTTGCACGTGGTTGATTGTGTCCTTGTTGCTTGTTTGTCTTGTTTGGGTAGAGCCGGGAGACGAGTTCGCTAACGAGGAGTCCGTTGAGTTTGCTTTCGAGGATCCAGTCAACTCCGACAACTTTGTAGGCAAGATGATCATACCCTCGAAATCACTACTATCTTTGCTATGCTAGATTGCTCGCTCTTTTGCTATGCCAATGCTACGATGCCTACCACTTGCTTTCAAGCCTCCCAAATTGCCATGTCAAACCTCTAACTCACCATGTCCTAGCAAACCGTTGATTGGCTATGTTACCACTTTGCTCAGCCCCTCTTATAGCGTTGCTAGTTGCAGGTGAAGATTGGAGGCCGTTCCTTGTTGGAACATTTATTTACTTGTTGGGATATCATTATATTGCCATGTTATCTTAATGCATCTATATACTTGGTAAAGGGTGGAAGGCTCGGCCTCTCACCTAGTGTTTTGTTCCACTCTTGCCGCCCTAGTTTCCGTCATATCGGTGTTATGTTCCCGGATTTTGCGTTCCTTACGCGGTTGGGTTATAATGGGAACCCCTTGATAGTTCGCCTTTATTAAAGTTTTTCCAGCAATGCCCAACCTTGGTTTTACCATTCGCCACCTAGCCTCTTTTCCCTTGGGTTTCCGGAGCCAAAGGGTCATCTTATTTTAACCCCCCCCCCCCCGGGCCAGTGCTCCTCCGAGTGTTGGTCCAACCAAGCGATGTCCGGGGCTACCAGGGGCAACTCTGGGCTGGCCTACCCGACGGCTTGCTCATCCGGTGTGCCCTGAGAACGAGATATGTGCAGCTCCTATCGGGATTTGTCGGCACATCTGGGTGGTGTTGCTGGTCTTGTTTTAACCTGTCAAAGTGTCTTGAAGAACCGAGGTACCGAGTCTGATCGGAACGTCTCGGGAAGAGGTCTATTCCTTCGTTGACCGTGAGAGCTTGTCCTGGGCTAAGTTGGGACTCCCTTGCAGGGATTTGAACTTTCGAAAGCCATGCCCGCGGTTATGGGCAGATGGGAATTTGTTAATGTCCGGTTGTAGATAACTTGAACCTTAACTTAATTAAAATGAATCAACTGAGTGTGTTACCGTGATGGCCTCTTCTCGGCGGAGTCCGGGAAGTGGACACGGTGTTGGAGTAATGCTTGCGCAGGTTGCTCTCTAGTTTCTCGCTCGCGCTTTGCCTCCTCTTCTTGCTCTCTTTTGCGAACAGGATAGCCACCATATTTGCTAGTCGCTTGCTACAGCTCCACACATATTTACCTTGCCATACCTATTAAGCTTAAATAGTCTTAATCGCGAGGGTGCGAGATTGCTGAGTCCCTGTGGCTCATAGATTACTATTACACCAGATGCATGGCCTGATGATTCTGCTCCAGGTGACGCGCTCGAGCTCAAGTGGGAGTTCGATGAGGACTCTCCGATACTATGTTTCCTTTCCTGATGATCAGTAGTGGTGCCCAGTTGGGGGTGATCGGGACCGTGTCGCATGTTGGGTTATCTTTTATTTTGGCGCCGTAGTCGGGCCATGAGTGTTTGGATGATGTAATGTTAATTATGTACCTTGATTGACGTGGCGAGTGTAAGCCAACTATGTTATCTCCCCTTTTATTATCTATATTACATGGGATGTTGTGAAGATTGCCTAACTTGCGACATATGCCTTCAATGCGATTATGCCTCTAAGTCGTTCCTCGACACGTGGGAGATATAGTCGCATCGAGGGTGTTACATATGCCAGCTCAAAAAACACCATCGGAGACACCTGTAGAGCACCTTTATAATCACCCAGTTACGTTGTGACATTTGATAGCACACAAAGTGTTCCTCCGGCATTGGGAGTTGCATGATCTCATAGTCATACAAACATGTATAAGTTATGGAGAAAGCAATAGCAACAAACTAAACGATCATCGTGCTAAGCTAATGGATGGGTCAAGTCAATCACATCATTCTGCAATGATGTGATCCCGTTAATCAAATGACAACTCATGTCTATGGCTAGGAAACTTAACCATCTTTGATTCAACGAGCTAGTCAAGTAGAGGCATACTAGTGACACTCTGTTTGTCTATATATTCACACATGTACTAAGTTTCCGGTTAATACAATTCTAGCATGAATAATAAACATTTATCATGATATAAGGAAATATAAATAACAACTTTATTATTGCCTCTAGGGCATATTTCCTTCAAGGCGCGCTTCCCTGCCTCGTGGCCTCCTCGTTGATTTCTTGACGTCCACTCCAAGTCCTCTAGATCAAGTTTGTTCCAAAAATAACTCTCCCGAAGGTTTCATTCCGTTTGGATTCCGTTTGATATTTTTTTCTGCGAAACACTGAATAGGCAAAAAAAACAGCAATTTGCACTGGGCCTTGGGTTAGTAGGTTAGTCCCAAAAATAATATAAAAGTGTATAAATAAGCCCATTAACATCCAAAACAGATAATATAATAGCATTAAACAATCAAAAAATATAGATACGTTGGAGACGTATCAAGCATCCCCAAACTTAACTCCTGCTCGTCCTCGAGTAGGTAAATGATAAAAAAAACAGAATTTTTGATGTGAAATGCTACCTAGCATAATTCTCAATGTAATTATCTTTATTGTGGCATGAATGTTCAGATTCGAAGACAAAATTTTAATATTGACATAAAAATAATAATACTTCAAGCATACTAACTAAGCAATCATGTCTTTTCAAAATAACATGGCAAAAGAAAATTCATCCCTACAAAGTCATATAGTTTGGTCATGCTCTATTTTCGTCACACAAGAATGCTTTTATCATGTACAACCCCGATGACAAGCCAAGCAATTGTTTCATACTTTAGTAATTTCAAACTTTTTTCAATTTTCACGTAATACATGAGCGTGAGCCATGAATATAACACTATGGATGAAATAAAATATGATGATAGGGGTTATGTAGAGAAGACAAAAAAGAAGAAGCAAATCATATGGAACCCAGCCGTAAAGCAGGGCGACAACCAGGCAACTCATGTTTCTGCCTAGAAACGATATCAGGTGCAAGTTTTTTGAGCTCCTGGTGTGTTAAATGATAATTGCTGATGGTAGGTGCCCCCGTTCTTCTGCTAACTCGTGGGAAGAGGTGCCCGAGAACGGTGGTATACATACACAATGCTATAGTATCTCTACTTCTCTACTTGTGCAGAAAAAAAGTTGTTTTTTGCTATCAAAATGTTGGTTAAGAGCTGTGTTCTACAGTTCTATAATACTCGCATCGCGCTTCCTTTGTTCAGACATATGTCCATCAAATGCAATTTAGGAAAGACAGATCTGCCAATGTTTAAGACTTCTCATGTTTTGCTGCTTGCCTTTTTCTTTTCTTCTTTTGCATGATTGCATAGTTTCATCAAGCATTCCTTGGTACCACCAAAAGCGACTCAAAATCATGGTTGCTGCACAACTCATATTTCATCAGGAGTTGATCTCCCTTGAGACAATTTCTTTTTCGGTTCTGTTTGGCCAGCACAATTTGCTTGCAATAGATGCAAGGATTTTTTTTTACACACGCAGCGCTGGCAACTAACTGTACATACAATTTATACAATCCCAACGTAACGAAGCCGGAGCAGTTTCTGCTGTTTCAATCTATAAAACAGCAAAACCATGAAGTATGTGCTATCTGAAGTTGTTGTCCTGCAAAGAAGAAAGATAATTCCAGCTGTCAGTACGACGACAGAGATGACAAGGCTCAACTGATTTCTTCATATGTTTAGGAGTAGTTCTGATGCAATATACCTGCGTGTCTGTTGTGGAGGAATCGTCTAAGATCCTTGCTTCAGATTTCTCGTTCGAGTAACTATCAAACAAGAAGGTGATACAGTTTAGTAATCTTCCATGCATGATAAAGTTTGGTAGCACGAGTAACTCTTGTGAAATCAAATATGAAAAGGCACGATCAGAGGCTTACGTTGACAAGATAGTGACCCAGATTAATTCGACACAGTCGACCCAGAGAAGTCTTTGTTCGATAGGAACCACACCGTATGTGATTAAGTGTGCAAATGGCCACAGTTTCCACCCAGCCTGCAATTTACAATTCAGAACATCATTTCCAGCTTTGTAACAACGAGTAACAAGAAAAATAAAATGGGAAAAAGCTCATATGTAATACTCTTATACTTATACAGCACCACAATTAATCCTATCAATAACCATATTTCAGTTTGTTTCCATTTTCTCTCATCGAACTCGGACCAAATTCTTTCACGATGATGTACTAGATGCATGTGCGCCTTATTTAGTAAATTTACACTCGTTCACACACGTCTGCAGTTGCTAGTGTGCCTAAAAAGCCTGAAGATTGAGGCAGCAAAATGCCAGCACAATCTCATCGTTGTATTAATTAGCTTATTGTATGTTCTACATTTTCTAACTGAATAATGGGGCCATGAAACTAAGGCCGTCAACATTCAGTCCATTTTCCACCAAAGATACTTAGTTTAGCACAACCACAGAAGCACAATTCAGAGACTGATGCTTACAGTAAGCATGGGGAAGAAGGTGGCCTTGAGCTCTTTGTATATGGTGGACGGAGATTCCCAGCGAAGGAAGCCCAGGGCGACGAAGTAGATGCTGTTCCACAGCGCAGACCAAGCCGTCTGATCAAACGCAACCTTGACAGGCACAGCCCACCAATCCTTGAACGGGAACAACGACTGATGCAAGAAGGTCAATGCATTCATGACAGTTTACACATCAAACATCACACAAATTTGTACGAGTCAGGCTAAGAATTACAATGGGTACCTCGCAGAAATGGTAGTAGTAGTGCGAAAGGGATCCATGGAGGGTGAACCCTACGAGGCCAGACCTGAACATACGAGTGCGGTCAAACTCGAAGATGGGCTTCCCTTCGTAACACTGTAAGTAAGCAGGAGCAACACAAACAAGAAGAACCGAATTAGCTGTCGCAGGAGCAGAAAGGGGATCAGTCAGCGAGGGGGAATTGGATTGGATTGGATTGGCACCTGGGCTATCCAGTCGCCGAGGGAATAGACGACGCCACTGATCATCATCTTGGCAAGAACCGGGTTGGCCTTGAGGGCCTCCTCGTACGCCGACCAGTTGTGCTCCGGCATGTACCGCAGGATCTCAAAGATAGTCCACCCCTGCACCAACCAAATCCAATCAAGAGAAACAAGGGTTAATCATCCATCCATTACGAACCCCCAGTCGATCGAGATTATGGCTAGCTATTAGTAGAACAAAAGAGGCACTTCTGGTTGAAATCAATCTTACATGCCAGTAGTCCTGGTCGACGGTGAGGAGCTTGGTGAGCGCGTAGGTGCTGGCGCCGAGCACGATGGCGGCGTTGATGCCGCGGTCGAGCATCTTGTTGCCGTCGTCGCCGCCGCCGCCGGGGGCGAACCCCCCGCCCACGTCGCCCTGGAAGGCGAGGCCCTCCGGCAGCTCCTCGAGCAGCCCCGCCGGCACCACCCCGTCCAGATCGCCGGCCCCGGGCCCCGGCAGCGCGTCGGCCGGCTCCGCCGCGGCCGAGACGCGCAGGGCCCGGCGGAGGCGCCTGGAGGACCCCGCCAGGCGAACGAGGGACGGCGCGGCCGTGTAAGCCGAGGCGGAGAGGGGGCTGCTGGGGATGAGCCGGGTGCAGGCCGGGGAGGTGGCCACGGACGCCGCCATCGCTGCCGCTGCTGTAGCCCCACAGCCAAGCTGCGAACTTCCCACCACCACACACGCACGCGCGTGCGCGCTGAGGCTGGTTGCCTCTGGCACTTGCTTCTCGTCTTGACTGACGTAGTAGGTGTTTGGCCTTTGCTTCCGACCGGTGCTTTTTTCTGACTGGTGCTCGCGTGGTTTTATTTATCCGACGGGGCCGCGGGGCAGGTGGCAGCGACCGCGTGAAGCTTGTGGATCTCTCGCGGCCGCGCCGTCGTGCGGAGGACGGGAGTCGGGAGTCGTCTCGCGGTTGTGTGCTCGCCTGAGGTTGCTGCGTGCCGGCCAAGGGTAATCTCGTTTCATCCGGGGGAAATGATTCCGGTCGACGATTTTGTGGTGGAGGTGCGTGCTGAAGTCGGACCAAACCTCCCTGCCTCACACGGTGACGGTGGGACAGGGCACCACGACAGGGTAACCGAGTTCCAGGTTCCGTGGAGCCCGGCGGAGATTCCACGCCTCCGGTGACCGGTGGTGGCCAACTGCTGGCATGTGTGGGCGTTCTGTTCTGCGCCTCATCATAAACTGATTTTCCATGTGGAAAACCTACTTACATGTTCTCGTCTTTTTTGTGTGGACAGTATGTTGTTCAAGAAAGAGACCTAAGGCCAACTTCAGCGCGCGATCTCATTCTGTTCGGGTGCGTCCGGTTGAAATAAAACGGACGAATAGCGCAGCCCAACGCGCGACTTCAAACGGATAAATGTCTGGATTCCGTCCGTTTTTGACCCATCCCTGGTCTAAACTTGCGCCGAATTTAGGGTGAAACGGACATCGCGCAGACGGGCTCAACGCACGACCTTGTCCCCATGTGGCCCGTCCGTCGGGGACACTAGCAGTCCCTTCGCTTCCAACGCCTCCACCCCCTCTCCCCGCCCCACCCCGCCGCCGGCGCCGCCACTATTCTCCGGTCGCCTCCTCACTGCGCACCCCCCGGCCGTCCATACCAAACCACGTCTCGACATGGCCGCCACCACGCCCGCGCTTTTGCCGTCGATTGGAGGAGATTTGGCTGTCGCCGTCGTAGCCGGTGGCAGAGAGGATACGATCGGCGGCGACGTACCACGGCGGCCACGGCAGCTTCCGACGAGTGCTCCAGAGCGGCCAGTAGACGGCCGCCAACCACCCCTACTGCATCGAGGTGATCATCGCTGAAGGAAATATGCCCTAGAGGCAATAATAAAGTTATTATTTATATTTCCTTATATCATGATAAATGTTTATTATTCATGCTAGAATTGTATTAACCGGAAACATAATACATGTGTGAATACATAGATAGATAGAGTGTCACTAGTATGCCTCTACTTGACTAGCTCGTTGATCAAATATGATTATGTTTCCTAACCATAGGCATGAGTTGTCATTTGATAAACGGTATCACATCATTAGGAGAATGATGTGATTGACTTGACCCATTCCGTTAGCTTAGCAATTGATCGTTTTAGTTTACTGCTATTGCTTTCTTCATGACTTATACATGTTTCTATGACTATGAGATTATGCAACTCCCGATTACCGGAGGAACACTTTGTGTGCTACCAAACATCACAACGTAACTGGATGATTATAAAGGTGCTCTACAGGTGTCTCCAATGGTACTTGTTGAGTTGGCATAGATCGAGATTAGGATTTGTCACTCTGATTGTCGGAGAGGTATCTCTGGGCCCTCTCGGTAATGCACATCACTATAAGCCTTGCAAGCAATGTAACTAATGAGTTAGTTGCGGGATGATGCATTACAGAACGAGTAAAGAGACTTGCCGGTAACGAGATTGAACTAGGTATTGAGATACCGACGAACGAATCTCGGGCAAGTAACATACCGATGACAAAGGGAACAACATATGTCGTTATGTGGTTCGACCGATAAAGATCTTCATAGAATATGTAGGAGCCAATATGGACATCCAGGTTCCGCTATTGGTTATTGACCAGAGAAGTGTCTCGGTCATGTCTACATAGTTCTCGAACCCGTATGGTCCGCACGCATAACGTTCATTGATGATATAGTATTTATGAGTTATGTATGTTGGTAACCGAATGTTGTTCGGAGTTCCGGATAAGATCACAGACATGACGAGGAACTCCGGAATGGTCCGAAGATAAAGTTTGATACATGTGATAATAATGTTTGGTCTCTAGAAGGGTTTCAGATTCACTGGATGGGGTTCCGGATGTTTTCCGAAATGTTTGAATATGAGAACACTTTATTTGGGCCAAAGGGGAAAGCCCACAAAGTTTTTGAAAAGTGCAAAAGGAAGTTTTGCGGAGTCCAGGGGCCAGACGCCAGGGTCCCTGGCATCTGGGTCCAGACGTCAGGAACCCTGGCGTCTGGCCCTGGAGTCCGAGAAGGATTCTTGCCTTTCGGGTGAAACCGACTTTGTAGAGGCTTTTACTCCAAGTTTCGACCCCAAGGCTCAACATGTAAATAGAGGGGTAGGGCTAGCACCCAAAAGAGACCAAGAAACACCAAGCCATGTGCCGGCAACTCCGTCCTCTCTAGTTTATCCTCCGTAATAGTTTTCGTAGTGCTTAGGCGAAGTCCTGCGGAGATTGTTCTTCACCAACACCGTCACCACGCCGTCGTGCTGCCAGAACTCATCTACTACTTCGCCCCTCTTGCTGGATCAAGAAGGCGAGGACGTCATCGAGCTGAACGCGAAGGTGTCGTACATTCGGTACTTGATCGGGACGGATCGTGAAGGTGTACGACTACATCAACCGCATTGATAAACGCTTCCGCTTTCGGTCTACGAGGGTACGTAGACATACTCTCCCCTCGTTGCTATGCATCACCATGATCTTGCGTGTGCGTAGGATTTTTTTTGAAATTACTACGTTCCCCAACAGTGGCATCCGAGCCAGGTTTATGCGTAGATGTTATATGCACGAGTAGAACACAAGTGAGTTGTGGGCGATACAAGTCATATTGTTTACCAGCATGTCATACTTTGGTTCGGCGGTATTGTTGGATGAAGCGGCCCGGACCGACATTACGTGTACGCTTACGCGAGACTGGTTCTACCGACATGCTTTGCACACAGGTGGCTGGCGGGTGTCAGTTTCTCCAACTTTAGTTGAACCGAGTGTGGCTACGCCTGGTCCTTGAGAAGGTTAAAACAACACTAACTTCACGAACTATCATTGTGGTTTTGATGCGTAGGTAAGAATGGTTCTTGCTCAGCCCGTAACAGCCACGTAAAACTTGCAACAACAAAGTAGAGGACGTCTAACTTGTTTTTGCAGGGCATGTTGTGATGTGATATGGTCAAGACATGATGCTATATTTATTGTATGAGATGATCATGCTTTGTAACGGAGTTATCGGCAACTGGCAGGAGCCATATGGTTGTCGCTTTATTGTATGCAATGCAATCGCCCTATAATTGCTTTACTTTATCACTAAGCGGTAGCGATAGTCGTAGAAGCAATAGTTGGCGAGATGACAACGATGCTAAGATGGAGATCAAGGTGTCGCGCCGGTGATGATGGTGATCATGATGGTGCTTTGGAGATGGAGATCAAAGGCACAAAATGATGATGACCATATCATATCACTTATATAGATTGCATGTGATGTTTATCCTTTATGCATCTTATTTTGCTTTGTTTGACGGTAGCATTATAAGATGATCTCTCACTAAATTTCAAGGTAAAAGTGTTCTCCCTGAGTATGCACCGTTGCCAAAGTTCGTCGTGCAGAGACACCACGTGATGATTGGGTGTGATAAGCTCAACGTTCATCTACAACGGGTGTAAGACAGTTTTGCACACACAGAATACTCGGGTTAAACTTGACGAGCCTAGCATATGCAGATATGGCCTCGGAACACTGAGACCGAAAGGTCAAGCGTGAATCATATAGTAGATATGATCAACATAGTGATGTTCACCATTGAAAACTACTCCATCTCACGTGATGATCGGACATGGTTTAGTTGATTTGGATCACGTGATCATTTAGATGACTAGAGGGATGTCTATCTAAGTGGGAGTTCTTAAGTAATATGATTAATTGAACTTTAATTTATCATGAACTTAGTCCTGGTAGTATTAGCATTTCTATGTTGTAGATCAATAGCTCGCGTTTAGCTCCCCTGTTTTATTTTTGATATGTTCCTAGAGAAAACTAGGTTGAAAGATGTTAGTAGCAATGATGCAGATTGGATCCGTGATCTTAGGATTATCCTCATTGCTGCACAGAAGAATTATGTCCTTGATGCACCGCTAGGTGACAGACCGATTGCAGGAGCAAATGCAGACGTTATGAACGTTTGGCAAGCTCGATATGATGACTACTTGATAGTTTAGTGCACCATACTTTACGACTTAGAATCGGGGCTTCAAAGACATTTTTTGAAACGCCACGGAGCATATGAGATGTTCCAAGAGTTGAAATTAGTATTTTGGACTCATGCCCATGTCAAAAGGTATGAGACCTTTGACAAACACTTTGCCTACAAGATGAAGGAGAATAGCTCAGCTAGTGAGAATGTGCTCAGAATGTTTGAGTACTACAATCACTTGAATCATGTGGGAGTTAATCTTCCAGATAAGATAGTGATTGACAGAGTTCTCTAGTCACTATCACCAAATTACTGGAACTTCGTGATGAACTATAATATGCAAGGGATAAGGGAAACGATTCCCAAACTCTTCGTGATGCTGAAATCGACGAAGGTAGAAATCAAGAAAAGCATCAAGTGTTGATGGTTGACAAGACCACTAGTTTCAAGAAAAAGGGCAAAGGGAAGAAGGGGAACTTCAAGAAGAACGGGAAGCAAGTTGCTGCTCAAGTGAAGAAGCCCAAGTCTAGACCTAAGCCTGAGACTAAGTGCTTCTACTGCAAAGGGACTGGTCACTGGAAGCAGAACTGCCCCGAGTATTTGGCGGATAAGAAGGATGGCAAAGTGAACAAAGGTATATTTGATATACATGTTATTGATGTGTACTTTACTAGTGTT